AGGGAATGTATTCAATATCTAAAGTTCCTAAGAATTCAACTCCACCCAAACGTTATCAATCAGTTCCATTCAAACTTGTCGTTTTTGGAGTTCCTGCACTATTATTTTTGAGGTCAATAATTTGCTTAGTGCCCAAAATGTTGGAACAAGGTGACTACATATAGTCCCTCCTCTAAAATTATGAGTAAATTTAAGCTTTCTGAGGAATTCTGACAACATAAAAAGGGTTGGTAAACTAATCTTTTCTGTGAGTCTCTAACTCTTTGGATAATATTCATTATTTATTATAACAAGAGCTAAACTTAAAAAAAAAATCTCAAGAAGGCTTCAAATACATGGGCAGTTTCTACCACATGCTCTTAAAGAAAAAGGAGCAATAGCCAGAGTGAACAGATGTTTTCTGAAAGAGCTTTATGGAAATGGAAATAATCCCCTTAAGAGTAATAAAGTAAGGCTTTCATGGTGGCTTGAAGTTATCCACAGCCACTGCAACATGAATTCGATCCCCAGCCAGGCATAGCTGGCCTCTTTCTCACCATCTGCTCCCCACAGCAGTGTATTTCAGTAGACCTGCCTTTTCTGCTCTCCACTCTGTCTCTGGTGAATTCTTTCACCCCCCATGCCCTTGGGCTGTACCCCAGTTCTTGTATGCATAAATAAGTAAATCTTTAAAAAGAAAGAGTGCCAAAGTAGTTTTAAATATACTACTTCTTGGCTGTCTTCTTCTCCACACTCAACAATCTGCTGCCTCTTTTATACAGTGTCAACTCTATCTGAGACTTGATAGTGAAGGCCTCAGTGAGTGTATTTGGCTATATTGGGTACCTGGACATCAGGGCTTTAATTCTGGCAATGTGGACATTGCCATCAATGACCCCTACATTGACCTCAACTATGTGGTCTGCACATCCCTGTATGGTTCCACCCATGGTAAGTTCCATGGCACAGTCAATGCTGAAAAGGGGTAATTGTCACCAATCAAAAATTCATCTTCATCTTCCAGGAGTGAGATTCCACCAACATCCAGTGGGGCAATGCTCATGCTGAATATGTTGTCTTTCCTACCTTGGAGAACACTGAAGTTCACTTGAAGGGTACAACCAAAAGGGCCATCATCTATGCCACTTTGGCTGATGCCCCCATATTTGTGATGAGAGGCCATGAGAAGCATGAGAACTTCCTCAAAATTGTTAGCAATACTTCCTGAACCACCAACTATTTGGGTCTCCTGACCAGTGTCATGCAAGACAACTCTGGCACTATGGAGGGCTCAGGATCATATCATTCTCAGTGCCCCCCAGAAGACTGTAGATTTCTTCTCCTGGCGCCACCAAGGCTGTGGGAAAGACCATTCCTGAACTGAGCAGTAAACTCTTTGGCATGATCTTCCATATCTGCACTCCCACTTTGTTAGTGGTGGGCCAGACTTATCACCTGGAGAAAGTTGCGAAATATGACATCAAGAAGGTTATGTAGGATTTGCTCAAAAATATCTGGGCTACACTGAGGAGCAGGCTGTCTTCTGCAGTTTTAGCATTGACACCTACTCCTCCACCTTTGATGCCAGCTAGGCCTGGCATTGCCTTCTGTGACCGCTTTGGCAAGCTTGTTTCCTGGTGCAACAAGGTGGTGGGTCTCATGGTCCAAGTGGCTTCAGTGAAATTATACGAGGTCTAGAGAGGACCTCAGCTGCTGGGAATCCTTCTAACACTCATTTAGCTAAATTCATATCTCCTGAACTCCCAGCTTCATCCCAGAACCGCTAGAGAAGGGGAGGGGCATGACAATCCCTCCCTTGTCATGTACAGTGATAAAGTATACTGTATCCCCAATGAATGAGTGAATATACTATTCTTTGGGATGAGTCATGATTTTAGAAATTTAATTATATATATATATATTACACACACACACATATATGTCTATCTCTATACATACTTGCTGTATATATATACATATATACTATACACATAGTAAACTGACAATAGTTGTATTCAAAAAAGTTGAGGTAAAATAAAATAGCTGGTTACACCTTGGCTATACAAAACTCAAATATCTAGCAAACTCATTTATCCCTACATAACTGACAGGACCAGGAAGGAAGGAAAATAGTCTTCAATAACAATAACCATAATAAGTGACATAAAATCCGCAACCTAAAAACCATATATTTGGCATATTTTCCCTTTTCAACATATACCCTCTCCAAATAAAATAAGACAATCAGATTTTGCTATTTTTTGTTAAATTTAAACTGTTTTATTTAACTTGATATGTATGTTTCCAAAGGCACAAAATATCAGAAAGAAGCAGCTGAAATGATAGAGACTTCATTAGATAAGTCCAATTATAATTGCAAAAAGTAAGAACAGCACCTGAAAAGGTAAAGAAAGAACCACAAAAAAATTACACACATACACCTATATGAACTAAAAGATAATGAAGCCATTTTAGTGCATGTACAGCAATCCTACAGATTTTCATATCTCTGAGAGAAGAAAAGATATAAAGTACAATAACTGATGTTTATAATGACCCTCAGCAATCCTAAAAAGATTACATTAAAATGTCGATGCTAAGTTCTTTATTTATTATTTTATATATTTTTACAACATTCTTCATATTTATACAATGTACACTTTATCACCTTGTGTGTAATCCCAGTGAAATTCCCACCACCAATTCACCCGTGCACCATTACCATAGTCCCTTGTGAACTTCCCACCCCTATTTACATCCTACTCCCTCCTCCCCACCTGCAGTGTCTCTGGTTTATAGTTGTCTGCTGATTTTTGGGTTTTACTTTATTATAATTACTTTTTCCCCCACATCTCTTATTTGGTTCCCCTGCATTCCTCCTATTAATGAAAGCATCCAGTATTTTTCTTTTCCTTTCTGCCTTATTTCACTGAGCATGGTTCCTTCCATCTGCATCCATGTTGCTGGAAATGGCATGAGTTTCTCTTTTTTGATTTCTGAGCAATATATCATTGTGTATATATACCACATCTTTTTGATCAAGTCATCTATTTTTGAGCATTTGGGTTGTTACCATCGTTTACCTATTGTAAATAGTGCTAAAGCTAAGTCCTTCAAATAAAAACAACACTAATACCAATAATAACAAACAAACATTTGCAAAGTGCTTTAGTGTTTAGAAAGCACTTTCCAAAAAGTGTGCTTCATTTGAGATTCTCTGGTGTAGTGCCACTCATGGACAGACATTAAAATTGAAACCCAGAGAGAAGTAACTTGTCCAAGGTTACCTAGCTTATTTTATACACTATGCTCCTTTGTTTAAAACATGCTGCTTACGTGAGCAGGAAAGAATTTAAATTCAGGAACAGTTGTGCATAAAATGAAGTTTAAATAAGTGAGTACTTTTAGAGCTACCTGATCATTACTACAGAAAACAGCAGTTGAAATATACCTTCCTGGAGGATTTCAGTGAATCGAGGTTTTACCCTGTTTTTCGTCAGTGAAGTAAATATTGTCTGCTTATGTTTTGATAGACAAGCACTATTACAAAAAATCACATAAATAAAACATTTTGTGAATTTACAATCTTATAAATGTAAGAAAGGAAGTTTTCATAAATTTATAAAACTAACTACTGCTTATTAAAATGCTATTTTGATGAAACCTGATATATGCAATCTAAGTTTCAAGATTTCCAAATGAAATGACTTGTATTACTAAATGATTTAACCACAGAAATTACAAATTATAAATGTTCATTCTATACTTGCAATAAGATTCAATTCACCAAACTTTCCTTGCATATATCTTTACTGGTGAGAAATGAAGTTCAACTAAATCTATATATACATGTGTGTGGTTCTTCATTAACTCAATGCTTAAATGTGTTTAGTAAAATTGTGACTGAGGTTGTTTTGGGAAATAAATCTAAGCAGGCCATGGCACAGTTGATATTAAGAATCAAAATAACAAATATAGCAAAACAAATACAACAAAACATTATCTGAATCACCACCAAAACATTTAAAAGTCATATCACACACAATCATAAATATCCAAGCAAAGAACTTACACTGCAAACCTTAAAACTGCATTTTGTGAAATGTCAGTTTACACATTTATTCTGTGTTTAAGGTATATGTGTTGTGTATGTGATAAGCATGCGTTTATGTGTGTGAATATTAAGATACTTTAGATACATTTAGGATGAATGATCTTTTCCCCCAAATATAAAAAATGGAAGTCTCATAGATATCCCAAGTTATAAAGATATTAATTCCTAAATCTTCTATTGTATTAGTAAACCTTTTCCCTTGAGTTTATTTTCTCAAGTAGTGTATATTTTCTAGATAAGTCTGAGATGATATTGTCCTCTTGCACATTTTAAAATATTTGGAAAGATCACCTACATCCACCTATGTTCGATTTACATGTTGTTTCTTGCAGGAGAGGACGAGGACAAATGTGCGAGTCATTCTGTTGCTCACCACTTTCTGTCAAGAAATATGGTTTCTCAAGTGCTCTTTAGAATAATATGTTTTCATTTGGAGAAATATAGGCATACACAATTCTTTCAGAAGGGTCATATCTCTTTTGAGAATAACAGAAAGAAACTATGGCTTGTTATGGTACTCAACAATACTATTTTTTTTTAAGATTTTATTTATTGATACAGAACTGGGGTACAGGCCATAGATGCGGAGGGTGAGAGGATTCACCAGAGACAGAGCGGGGAGCAGAACAGGCAGATCAACGCAGTACACTGCTGAGGGGAGCAGCGGGCGGGTCAGGAGAGGTCTGGCTCGCCATGTGGATCTCCTCCAGGGCAGACGGGGATCGAACTCATGAGGAAGTGGCTTAAGGATCGAACTCATGAGGAAGTGGCTTAAGCTTCTTAGTGCAGTGCTTTAACCCACTGCGCCACCAGGGAGGGCCACAATAATACTATTTTTAAAGAGACTTCTTCATAGGGATAAAGCTAAACTAATAGAGTATGTATATTGTTTTAGATAATTAATTGCTTATATTGTCTTAGAATTACCCAAAAATTCAAGAGAAAGATCTTGAAAATCATCTTTTCTGTGATGATTTTCTGAAGCACTATCTTTGCATCTCACACATGAAGGGAGAAACAAGCCATCCTGTTCTGAAAATCTATCACGGAATTCTGAGGCCATAAAATAATATAAAACTGGATCAAGACAGCAGTTGAGATTTGCAAGACACAGGGAAATGATGTGGAAGCAAAGAGTGATCTTAATTAAGGAACAGTTCAAAAAGACACCTTGCTTCACCATTATAAAGAATGGGAAGTTGAGGTGGTAAGGGGTGAAACACACAATGAACACCACCGCACACATCAGGACCATCCCCAAAGCCTTTTTTCTCTTTTGAGTGTTCTGAAGAGGACCTTCGAATTCTTGTAAAGATTTCCTTATTTTCCATGTGCAATATGTGACAGTCACAACAGGTAATACAAATCCCCCAAGTTCAGCAACAGTTACCAGGCCAATAGCGGAAGCCATGCTAATGTGTTTAAGCTCTAAGTCAGCAAAGCAGAATTCAGTGTTGTCTTCTAAGCCTGAATTTCTTAGAATTGGAAGTGGCAAACAGGCAGTCCCCATGATGACCCAGATGGCAGCACTGATGGCCACATCGTACCTGCGTTTCCAGCCTCTGGCTCTGAAGGGTTGGAGGAGAAAGAAGCATCTCTGAAGGCTGATGCACGTCAGGAAGCAAATGCTGGCATACATGTTGAGGTACTTCAGGTAGAAGCACAGCAGGCAAAGGAACCTCTGGAAAGGCCAATGGCCAGAGATGTAATAGTAAATCCGGACGGGTAGGGACAGCACGTGAGCAAGGTCAGCCACAGAGAGGTTGATCATGAAAATGATGGCTTTATTTTTCTTGCTGATGAAGCGACAGAGAACCCACAAGGCTCCAATGTTGGCCAGAAATCCCGGGATGAAAATGAGGATGTAGGTGGTTGCATAAAGGGTGTATTGGAATAGAATTTCAGGATCAGTGCACTTTGCTTTTGTGTTGTTTGTGCTGTTAATTCCCATCTTGAAGATGTAGGTTCCTTCCTTAAACAAATTATCAGAATGATGATTTCTGCAGAAAATAAACTAAAGTTAGGGTCAAGACATGCCAGTCCATGTTGGGTATACTAGTGTATTTGTTTCCTACTAAAGAAATATTCCTGTATGAGCTTTCATAAATTCAACAGGTCTTTTCTATGAAAACTAAATATA